AAAAAAAAAAGAGCAGAAAAAGAAAAAGAAAAGCAGCTCCACCCCAGAGCCGAGCTGCAGAGCAGCTGCATTTCACCCCTATCTGTGTCCTTGCTCCGCCGCATGCGGAGGCCTTTGCCTGCCGCGCTATCTGCCCCAGCCAGGCGGCTGCTCAGCCAAGTTAGCGCTCGGGAGCCTCGGAACCCACCCTGGGATACGCTTCCTCCTGGACAATGTGGACAAAGGAGAGAGCTCCTGCATGGAGCACCCAGCTTGCCCATGCACAGYGCCCTGCGCCTGGCATGGGCTGGGGAATCGGCGGCTGCAGGAGAAAAGATGTTCTGTGAAGGCAGATTTGATCCTGTTCTTGAAGGCTGATAATTGTGCAGAATGAAAGACCTTTTTTTCTCATCCTCTTTGCAAAAGCCAGACAGGGAAGTTYGCAAAAGCCCACGTAGGAACATGAAGGGAGGCCGGAGCCGAAGGAGACAAAGCCCCGTGCTCAGCACCCTGCACGGGACGGGGYTGACAGGCAGATCTGGCTGGAAACCGCCCCGCAGAGCAAAGAAAGGGGTGGTATCTGTCCTCACTGCACAGCAAGGACAAGAGGAAGAGAAAAGGCAAACAGGGAATTAGACAAAGCTTCCTCAGAGGCARATAAGAGGTTTGAGGGGGAGCTGGAAATTACGATGCATGTAGAGGAACTCTACTGTGACAGCAGAACCAACCAGCTTCTACTATAGGTCTGCTCCACTGAGGGGAAGGCTGCTTTTCTCTGCCTTTCCAAAAACTTGCACTTGATAGACAACTGYAGCACCTTCTTGTGTCCTTTGCCCAGTAAGAGGACCCTGGGGAAAGGAACAGTCAAAGCAGCTGCTGCAGGGAAGGGATCAGGGAATAAGACAGGGCAGGTTTACAAGGGGGGGAAAGCCTGGTCAAATCTGGGAGTTCGTTTAGGAAAGAAGAGCACGCAGACCTGCACCCGCAGCAATGCAAGGTCAGCGCCTTTGTGGTCAAATTAAAGTTACGGAGGCTTTAGATTCAAGGAGATTTAAGGATACTACATAAAATGTAGTATTCCGTTGGAGCGCACGCTGGGGGCTGCATCGTAGCCACTTCTGCTTGGCCGTACCTGGGCACGCTACACGGCCAAACAATTATGCAAGCAGCCACAGGAACTGCAAAGGTGACCTCAGTGAAGCTGTGTTTCATCCAGAACAGCTACCACCACTGAAGTATGACAGCGGGGGTAAATCTATCCCTGTTTGTTTTCCTGACGTCTTAATAGGTTTATAAAAATTCCAGACCCTGAATCACTCTCCAAACATCTCCTGGACTTCCCCTTAACACGGTGAGCAAGGCTCGCTAAGACTCACTTTTACATGTCTCCTTCTTCAAACTCTCTCCCAAAACACGGCACAAGCACCTGGCTGCCGCAGGCAGCTGCAMTTACCCCTTCCGAGCCCCGTCCCCTTCCTGAGAGAGATGAGCAGGTCTCCTCTGCTCCGAATCAATTTRAGAGTCCCACATTTCAAGCTGCATAATGTTATAGACCCAAAGAGCCTGGCTAAGGAAGACTGTCTGAGTATGCCTGGATGGATAGGCTGAGCGAACATGTTTTAGGGAACTACTCTTGCTTAGCTGCAGCAAAGACGTGAAGATCCAACCTGCACAAGTTGCAGGCAGTCATTCTGTTGTCTGCTGCACAACGCGTAAGCAAGTCACACGTGGAAAAAGTACCACAACAAGCTGGCCATATGCCCTGTCCTCTTCCACCTCCTTCCCCAAAACCTACTATGTWGGGAGCAAGAGGAGAGCACTAAGCCAGAGGCTACTAAGCACTGGAGAAGGCGCTGCAACCTGTGCGCCGGTGGCTCGCGGCGCCCGCTGCCCTCCGCCTGGCCAGCGCTTCACATMTGCTCGAGCAGGTGCTTCCTGGCACAGCGGCCCGTCCGTTGCAGCGGTCTCGGCAAGCGAGCGGACTCCTCCTCTTCGGCAGTCTCTCCAGACAAGGTACCCTGCGCTCCCTCTCGGTTCTATTTCGGATGCTCTTGGGCACTTTCAGCACATGACCTCACGTTGCTGCTCAGCGTGGACTACCCAACCCTGCATGTCTTCCAGGCTGTTGCTGACATCACTCTTTGCATTACCCCTCGCTTGGTAATCRAGGCCTCTTCCTTGTTCCTTAGCACGGCTACTGCAAGTTGTACTTCCCACTGYGTATGTGGTATCCTTAATAAGGCCACAGTGCGTACTGCGAGACTCCCAGCTTAATCCTAGGATAAGTACAGGCAGCCATGGGTAATTTCATGGGAAGAATCACAGGGAACATCTACAGCTCATTTATGCACAGGGGCAGACCTTCCCCTGGTCACGCTGCCAGCACTGTCTGCACCTCTGGAAGCGACTGTATCCTATACGAATAACTACACACTCCGTGGAACATAATTGCACAGAGACACGCTGCTCTCCACAACATTTATCACCTTAACCTTTAATCTACACTTGTGTAGTAACATTTATAAAGGCAAAACCTCCATTTCAGAGCTGCTGGCTTTAAGTCTGTTAACAGCGTGACGAAGGGGCACAGTCATGCATACGTTTTTTAAAAGGTAAATGGTAAGTTTACAAGTTCAAACACCATTCTGCTGGCTTTCCAGGCAGGAACGGTCAAGGCTGTAACACCTTGATTTCAGTACAAATCAAATACTTCTGAAGTGTACTTGTGTACACTTCCAAAAATGTAACATTTTTTTCCCCCACAAAGAACAGGTAAAGAGAGTGTTAATCATCTTCCACTGCTCCCAACCAAATGGTCTGGGAACAATGTGAAAATTCAAGTCCTTCACACCCCTTAAGCAGATGGAAGCTTCATTTGGAGGAAGGCAGAGCTGTGAAAAGAAGGGAGGGGAGAGCAAGGGACGTCTGCTGTGACAAGCTGCAGCCAAGTCCAGCCTTACTTTGAAAGCAGAGGTAGTTTTTTTTTTTTTTTTTCCCCCTCCGAGACGCACAAATTCTTCTTCATGACACTTATGGGTATGTTTCTTTCTTGGGGGGCCTCTCCACACTCATGACGTTCTCATTTGCTGGGGACAGAAGTGGCTTCACAAAGCTCAAGATATCACCCCAGTCTTGCAAAGAACCCATCCCTTTGCTCAAACACTGCAGAAACGTGGTGGGGAGGCTGCATGGTCTTACCATGCTGGCCATGTTCAATTCAAACAACCSTTCCCCAAAGTGGCTTGTCCTACAGAGGCAAAGCTTCATGAATTTTCATTGTTGATATTATCTGAAGTGTGATTAGGCCAAAAATGCTTGAACAAACCGTCTATCTAATGTCTTGTGCTAAAACTGAGGCTAGCAAGGCTTGAAGACACGATGCAATTTCTGCTCTAAACCAGTCACCAAAACATACCCACAGGACGCCTGAGCAGGTCTTTKGAACAGAGAGCTGCACATGTCACTTCCCGCCCGCGGTTAGGAGGCTCTGCAGCCGTGTTGGGGCACMCGGTGATTGGGAGACGCCATGGAGAGGGCTGCACAAAGCTGGAACATGGCCCGAGCCGCAGAAGCGCAAAGGAACCCGCAGCCCGGGGCGGCGCGTGTCAGCACGGACACGGCGGGACGAAGCAGGTGGCAGGGCCCCGGCGTCGCTGACAGGGTCACCAGGATTCCCTCCCAGGACTGTCCTCAGCGGGACATGCTGCTCTTCTGCCTTACATGYAGCATGTGAGAGGGAGTTCCCGTGCTGGGGATACCC